AGGCAGGATGGGACCCCAAGACGGCAACCAGATGAAGTGACCCACATGGCGACGACTGGGAAATGAAGCCAGAGGATGCGGAGCGTAACCCTTCGACACTCATCCCGGCTATCTTGTCAGACGTTGAGCTACGGTTGTGGAAAGCAGCATCCAGAGGTTATCTTGGCAAAGGAATGGAGAATGGAGTTGACGTTTCAGATGCGAAAGAGGACGCTTGCAAAGTTGAGAAGGGATAACATATTGCCTAAAGCGAATGCCCTCTTGAAAGCCATGACAGCAGGCACTTGTGGACGCCAGCGAGGAAAGCAGACCTCTTTGGAGAAGGACATACAGGCAATGGACTTTGTTCCTGTGGCCAGCGTGCAGATTCCTTTTACAGATTCTGGGGAGATTGCAGCGCCAGGCCAGAGCAACCAGATTTTGAACTGCGACACGGTCTATACCGAGACGCTCTTCGGGGAGGCGCTGAACCTGCCGCCGCGCATCGCGGCCCAGGATCGAACTTTGTTGGTCTGTGGCGATGGCAGCGGCGGCGGGAACGCCGACGACGAGAGGTATCGGCGCTGCGGCTGGAGCTGGATCGCCCTGGACACCACCCAGCCCGACGAGCCGACGATCCGAGGAGGTGCTGAAGGCCCGCTCGCGGGCCCTCGGCAAACGAACAACCGAGCCGAGATCACGTCCTTGCTGTCCGCCCTGCGCCACACGCAGGGCCCGATGCACTTCTGGACGGACTCGGAGATCCTCTACAAGGGCTGGCGCCGTGGCAGACATCGTCAGCCTGGAGGGTGGAGCGTGCACGGCGACCTGTAGGAGCAGATCGCGTCGGCCAACAGCGAGCGCGGAGAGTCAGACGTGCAGGTATTCTTCATGCACAGCCACCAGCCCTGGGAGGAGGCCCAGGCCAGAGGCGTGCCCTCTGCAGCGTGGCTCGGGAATTCTGTTGCAGGAGTTCGCAGGAAGAGCAGCTAGTGAACATGCCATCCCTGAAGCCAGATTGAATTCTTATACATGGGCCGTCGCCACAGGGTATAGGATTGGGAATAGAATGTTGAGAGCTACTTTAAACGCGTTTGATAATGAAGTTTCGGGTCCGACGGCGAGGCAGGTCAGAAGAGCCCAGAGGAGGTCTCGACCCTATGCCCTCGCCCAGGCCCAAGCAGGTTCGAACCACCAGCTCATTGATTTGAAATACAGGTGGTCCTGTAGGTGTTGTCAAAGCTCAGCCAGTAAGCTATCGAATAAGAAGCAGTTGAATGATTGGCTGACCTCCGAGTGCTAAGGCCCCCCCAGAGAGCAGCCCCAGCAGCAGCAGTCAGCGGCGGGAACTAGGCTCGGCCACTCGTCCCACACTCTCGTGTTTTATGAGCCCTACTGGGTTTGCTCGTTGTGCGGGTGCAGGACTCTATTGGGGAGGGGGGATCTCAGAGGCCTCGCGGAGGAGCAACCCCCGTCAAAGATGGGAGCCTGGGTTCGTGTCAGGAACGGCCGCCCTCTCAGATAGGGCGGCCGAGGTGCCAAGTCGGCGTGTCCCCCCCCCCCTTGGGCCTGTCTTGCCTGCTTGGCGGGGCCCTGCTGGCCTGGGGAGGGGGGCCCGCCCACTTAGGCCCTGCCAGAGGCCACTCTTTGAAATCCTCCTGCAGCTCTGGCCTGGTCAGATTGGGAAAGCCCTTGGGAAAGTCCTCCTCCTCCTCCTCCTCCTCCTCCTCCTCCTCCTCCTCCTCCTCCTCCTCGTCCTCCTCCTCCTCCTCCTCCTCCTCCTCCTCACCCCTGTCCAGCTCGGCAGACCAGGCGACCAGGCAGCCCCTCTGGAGCCTGGCCCCCGCGCGCTTCCTGGCCGTGGCCAAGTGCGCTGCGTGCCACCTCTGCACGGCCGTGAGCCCACGCCAGCCTCCAGCCGCGGCGCGGCCTCGCCTGGTGCAGGCGACCGACTGGACCCGGAGGGCGGCATGGCGCCTGCGCGCGGACGCCCGGGACCAGCACTGCCAGGACATCACGCAGTCGAGCAGGTACGCCCTTGCGAGGCGCGACGACATGCCCCTGGCGCGCCGCTGGAGGCAGGCCGTGCGGGAAAGGTGGTCCAGCACCCGCAGCGCTAGCCTGCCGCCGTGAAGCCACTGCACCTGCTGCACTCTCTGCCTCTCTTCGACGAGCCCCGCGGCGAATGCGCGCCACGCGGACAAGCAGCGGCTCACGACGCGGCTGGAGGCCGCGCCTTCCGCAGCACAAACGACTGTGCGCCAGTGGGCGGTCGATGAGGCGTAAGCTGCCCAGCGCTCGAAACTCGCGGCAAACCGCCTCGTGCTCGTTCGCAGCTCCAGGGCGCGGACACGCCCACGGACTCGCAAGCTCAGGCGGAGAGCCGCGAGCCCGCGCGTGAGCCTGCGGTGGGCGCTCTCCTTGTAGAAGCGCTTGACCAGCCACGTGAGCAGCACCTCGCGCCGCCAACCGAAGACGACGTACCTGAACCGGTGCGTGACGAAGAGGCTCAGGCAGCAGAGGTCGCGCGCGCGGCCCTCCCGCGCGACCTGCAGCCAGGCCGGCACCAGCTCCGCGAGCGCACGGGCCCGCACGAACTCCGTCAGCCGGCGTGCGACCCGTCCGCGCTCCGCCCCGCCACGCCACCGCTGCACCACGCGCGACCTCGCCCTGCCGCTCAGGGCGGAGGCCGCCTGGCGCCCGGCGCGCCGCGCCCGCAGCCAGCCCGCGGCGCGCTCGCGCCAGCCGCGCAGCGCGCTCGCCGCGATGCGCCAGGCCGCCGCCCGACCGAGGGCGAGGAGGCGGCGGCCGAGGGCCACCTGCAGCCTCGCCGCCAGGGCCCAGCCGCGAAGCGCGAGCAGCGCGAGCCGCACGCTGGCCCGTGCGCTGCCCAGCTCGGCGGCGTGCCGCAGCCGCACGCGCCTCAGGTGCTCCGCGCGCCACCTCCCGAGCCAGGCAGCGCGCAGGCTGCTCTGCCGGGCGGCCGAGGCGGAGCGGGCCGCGGCTCGGCTGCGCGCGCGCGACCGGAAAGCCGCGACGGCGTAGCGGATGCGGCGCTTCCTCGGGGGGTGGGGAGGGGAGGGCGGCGGCGGCGGGCTGGCTCAAGCGGGAAGGGCCGCAGAGATCACAAGGAGTCGCACCTGCCAGTGGCCACCAAGGGTTACAGGGGCCACAGGAGCCACAGGCTGTGTCAAGGACAACAGAGACAAGAAGAGTCACAGGGGGCGTAGGGGCCTTAGGGAACATCGAGAGGCAGGGATCCACATGGGATATAGTAAACACATAGGGTCTCACAGGGCAGGGTCACGGTCCTGGGTCACAAGGATCATTCGGCGCAAAGGCCGAAAGTGAGGGCGTCCTGAGGGAGACCACCGGGGCGCTTCCTGAGGAGAACCGAGAGAGAAAGGAGGGGGGCAGGTTTCCCGAGGGTGGATTCGTGAGGGAGGGCCTCGACTGCGCAATGGCCCCGAGGGCCACGAGAGCCACCAGGGTCACAAGGACCGCGCGGGCCAGAAGAGCCCCAGGGCTCGCATGGGTCGCAAGAGTCACAGGGGCCACATAGATCACGAGCACGAGGGCCCCACTTCCCCCCTTTTCCCTTGCAGCTCCTCCCTCTCCCTTCCCCCCCCCCCTTCACCCCACTGGCTGGTCCGCAGGAGCAGCCCAGAGAGCCTGCCGAGCAGCTCCGCGTGGCGGGCCTGGCCCAACAGCTCGGCCATCGCCTCGAAGGCGCACCTCTTGGCGCGGCGGTCTGCCTGCGAGGCGGCGCCCTCCTCGACCTCCCGCAGCCTCTCTTGCCAGAGCTGCCAGCGCCGCCAGCTGGCGAGGGTGTGGAGGCACAGGCGCCCGCACGCGCGTGCGCCCAGGCGCGAGAGGCCGCGCCGCAGCTGCAGGCGCCGATCCAGCTGGCGCCGCCAAGCGCACAAGGCCGCGAGCCGCCGCCGCCCGCCCGCCCGGGCGGCGGCCTGCCCGCGACAGGCCTCCGCGCGGCGCCTCCGCGCGACGAGCTCGCGCCAGGCGGCCAGCGGCTGGCAGAGGAGAGCGAAGCGCTGGCTCAGGGAGAAGACCCGTAAGGCCCGCACCACCTGCGGGAGGGCGTCAGATGTCCCTCGACCTCCACCTTCCAAGCCTTCCGGGCGGCAGATGCCAGCGCGGCGCGGCACGGAGGCCACCGCTGCGGCCTCAGCCGCCGCTGCAGCCGAGGCAGCGGTCGCCGCTACGCGGCACTTGCCGCGCGGAAGGTGCGGAAGGCGGACGTCGAGGCGCGCACCGGCACCGACCCTGGCCAGGCCCTGGCCTGGGGCCAGGACCAGCGTGTGCGCGCCCTGATGGCCGTGGCCCTGTGGACGCGTGAACACGCAGGTCCTTGGCCCAGGACGAGCCCAGCCAGGATCGGTGCCCGTGCATAGGTTCGCCCCCCGACGCATCGCCCCACGACGCCTGCAGCCAGGCACCCACGATCCTCCGGGCCAGCGCCCTCGCGAACAGGTCGAGCACCGCAACGCACCGCCTGCGGAAGCGGTGTGGGTGCACCGCTCCGGGCGCGGCGGCGAAGAGGATGGCCGCGGCCGCGGCGCGGGCGCGGGCGGCGGAGGGCTCCTCGCCCGTCGGCGCCTCGGGCAGCTGCCAGCTGCGCCCCGCGCCCACGGCGCTGGCTGCCCAGCGGGCGCCGCTGACTCGCAGCCAGCGCCACAGCGCCAGCAGCTGGGCCTCGCTGCGCACCTCGCCGCCCTGCCTGGAGACCGTTTGAAAGACTCGCCTGGCGCTGGGGCACCCAGAACTCGGAGCCACTCATTCTCGCTCACACGCCGTGCGCTCCCTCATCGCTCCTCCTACCCTTCGCACAGGTGTCCCTGCCCGTCAGGGCCCTCGGTTTTCGCTCGTTGTCGCGTCCCCCCCTGCCAGTCCGCCCCACCAGGGCTCCCCACCATGTCCAAGGTCGCCAACAGCGACGGCACAACCGAAAACACCGACCGAGACGACAGCGAAACAAAAAACAGCCGAAGCCGCTCCTTCCGCAAGCAGCCTAGAAGGGCGGAAGCAACAACACAACACCCGACCGAACCAAACCGACCGAACGCAACCGAGTGCGCCCTCAAGAAAAGAACATGACAATTGTATGTTTGCGGCACACGCGGTCACACGGCACCACCCACCACGGCCGGGGCGATCTCCGTCTCGTTCTTCAGGGACGACCAGTCCGACGCGGCCTTCTCTGGCAGAGGGCGGGGGGCACAGGCGCCGAAGAGGCCACAGGCCACTGCGAGCACCGCCACCGCCGCCTTCATCCTCGCGCCCCAGGCCCAGAACCACGTGGCCAGCAGGATCTCCGCCGTGCTCAAGACGAGGATGCCTTTGCCGAGGTAGCCGTGAAACGTGAAGATCCGTGGGCCGCCATTCTGCAGAGTCCTGTACTTCTGGAAGCCCATGTGCGCCTGCGCCGCCACCAGGACGAGCAGGGTGTAGCCGATGTACACGTGGGCCACACGCCGCCACTCGCTCCACTGCCCCTTGACGAAGCCGTAGCCGAAGTACTGCCTGGACGGCCAGTGGGCATAGAAAATGGCCGCGTAACCCGAGAGCGCTGCCATGCAGGCCAGGGTCATGCACGCGCGGTGCACGATTCGGCGGCCCTGCAGGTCCGCAGTTCCCAGCTTCTCGCTCGGGTCGGCCAAATACGCCCACCGCCCCAGCGTCATGAGGGACGCGTAGCCAAGTGTCATCAGCACGGGGTGCCAGCTGAACGGGACCGTCATGGCCAAGCCAGTGCCCATCTTGGAAGACCACATTCCCAGACACACTGTGATCGTCACGCCGACCGCGCACATGGTGACAACTGCATCTAGGCCTACAGCCATAGAATCCAGACTGCCACAGAATGTGTTTTATCTCACGCTGGAATCTGCCTCACCTCCGACCTGGCAAGAATGTCATCCCATGCGCCCACCACGGCTGACTCCGAACGGCTTGATCCAAAATGGCTACGGAGATCTACGGAAATCACTCGGAACTACTCAAGAGGCTAGCGCATCCATCATAATAGATGCCCTTTTCATGTGGGAAAGTATGTCATGCATCGGGAGGGCGAGAATCCATGATCCAGGTCTCCCTCCCGACAGCGATGTTCCAACCCCTCTTACCAAGCATTGTACCATCTTCAGCTCGAACGGCACATGGCCGTCGCAATCACCATGCACCTGCTCCATTCTTCCAAGATCAAAAGCTTGATGAAAGTAGACAAGAGGCATTTGGGATCATCTTCGGGTAACTGTGAGGTGGTATTGACGCCATAGGGTCATGATGGGGCCATCTAGTGATCATGGTTTCGTCTCATGGTCTTAGGGGTCATCCTCGGAGCATCGCAGCGTTGTCTTGAGGCCATTGGTTCGCCTTGGAACCATGTTGGGCCCTGAAGGTCATCCCAAGGCGTCGCATTGGGATCATCTTGGCGTCATATTATTGACGTCATCTTGACTGGAACATTGGAACCGTCTCAAGATCTCCTTGGGGTCATGGGTTCGCAGCGAGTCACCTTGAAGTCTGCCGCCCCGAAAAAAAAGAAACGTGAAAGTAAGGACATAGCCTGTACGGTCTTACGAGCGCCCAAGACGGCCCAAGAGGCCCCCAAGACCGCCCCTAGGCAGCCCAGGAGTCTCCCAAGACGGCCCAAGAGGGTCCCAAGATGGTAAAGGATGCCCCGAATTTGGCCCCAAGAGAGGCCCCCAAGAAAGCCCCAAGAAGGGCCCAAGAGGGGAACTCGAACTGGCTTTTCGAGTTCTTCATCCCCAGGTGACCCCCGAATCCCCCAAGAGGCTCCCGAGGCGCCCCCAGGAGGCCCCCAAGAGACCTGCAAGGAACCCCGAAGAGGCCACCAAGAGGCGCCGACTCGCGTGCTCTGCCGCTGAGGCCTTCTGTGGAGCTCCCCATGGGGCAACGAAGCGTGTGAGGATGGGCCGAAACGGACGCGGCGCTGCCATGCGGGCGCTGTCGCTGGGGCTTTGGGTGGAGCTCCCGATGAGGCCACGAAACGTGTGAGTGGCGTGCCGAAGTGGGAGCGACGATGCCGTGCGGGCGCTGCCGCCCCAGGCCTCAGGTGGGGCTCCCAGTGGCACCGCGAAACGTGTGAGGGGTGTGCCGGATTCGGCGCGGCGCTGCAGTGCGGACCCTGTCGCTGGGGCATTCGGTGGAGCTCCCTGTGGGGCCACGAAACATGTGAGAGGTGTGCCGCAATAGGTGCGGCGCCGCCATGCTGGCGCTGCCACTGGTGCCTTCGGTGGAGCTCCCTAGGGGACCACGACTCGTGAGGGGTGTCCCGAATTGGGCGAGGCGGTGCCATGCGGGCGCTGCCACTGGGGCCTTCGATGGAGCTCCCTGTGGGGCCACGAAACGTGTCAGATGTGTGCTGACATGGACACGCGGAGGGCAGGAGCAGGGATGTAAAAAAGGAGGGAAGGGGAGGAGGAGAGAGGAGGAGGAACGCGGGGCGGTCTCTCTTCAAAACGAGGACCCAATACCACATGATGCTTGGGAAAACACTTCCTTGCGGAAAGACACAACCATATGCGGGTGCGAGTACCGCAAAGCAAGCGGGACAAAGGAGGGGGAGCTCCCAATGGGGCCACGCAACGTGCGAAAGGTGTGCCAAAATGATTGCGGCCTCGCAATGCAGACCCTGCCGCTGGGGCCTTCGGTGGAGCTCCCTATGGGTTCACGAAACGTGTGAGGGGTTCGCCAGGACGGGAGCGGGGCCGCCATGCGGACCCTGCCGCTGGGGCCTTCGGTGAAGCTCCCCCAGTGAATGAGTTCGGAACATCGAGCAATTTTACCTAACAGCGAAGACTGATAGGTTTCTAGTGGATTCAAAAGAGAGCATCATGACTCCCCAGGGGGGTCTGGGCAGATGCCGGACGGGTGCCGGGGAAAACTGGGGACTCCTTTTTTAGCCAACAGTAACGCACTTCGTGGTCTTCGAATTCCCAGAACTCCGTTCCTGGGCATGATTTTGAACGCCCGGAGCCAACTGTAGGCCACTTCGTGGTCTTCGAGTTCCCAGAACTCCATTCCTGGGCATGATTTTGAATGCCTGGAGCCAACTGTAGGCCAGTTCGTGTTCTTCGAGTTCCCAGAACTCCATTCCCGGGCCACATGTTGAATGCTGAGACAGGCTGATGCTGAGGCTGAGGCAGGCTGAGGCTGAGGCAGGCTGAGGCTGAGGCCGAGGCTGAAGGCAGACTGAGGCTGAGCCTGAAGCAGGCTGAGGCTGAGGCTGAGGCAGGCTGAGGCTGAGGTTGAGGCAGGCTGATGCTGAGGCAGGCTGAGGCTGAGGCTGAGGCTGAGGCACGCTCAGGCTGAGGCAGGTTGAGGCTGAGGCCGAGGCTGAAGGCAGACTGAGGCTGAGGCTGAAGCAGGCTGAGGCTGAGGCTGAGGCTGAGGCAGCATGAGGCTGAGGTTGAGGCAGGCTGATGCTGAGGCAGGCTTAGGCTGAGGCTGAGGCTGATGCAGGCTGAGGCTGAGGCAGGCTGAGGCTGAGGCCGAGGCTGAAGGCAGACTGAGGCTGAGGCTGAAGCAGGCTGAGGCTGAGGCTGAGGCAGGCTGAGGCTGAGGCTGAGGCAGGCTGATGCTGAGGCAGGCTGAGGCTGAGGCTGAGGCTGATGCAGGCTCAGGCTGAGGCAGGCTGAGGCTGAGGCCGAGGCTGAAGGCAGACTGAGGCTGAGGCTGAAGCAGGCTGAGGCTGAGGCTGAGGCAGGCTGAGGCTGAGGCTGAGGCAGGCTGATGCTGAGGCAGGCTGAGGCTGAGGCTGAGGCTGATGCAGGCTGAGGCTGAGGCAGGCTGAGGCTGAGGCCGAGGCTGAAGGCAGACTGAGGCTGAGGCTGAAGCAGGCTGAGGCTGAGGCAGAGGCAGGCTGAGGCTGAGGCAGGCTGATGCTGAGGCAGGCTGAGGCTGAGGCTGAGGCTGATGCAGGCTGAGGCTGAGGCAGGCTGAGGCTGAGGCCGAAGGCAGACTGAAGGCTGAAGCAGGCTGAGGCTGAGGCTGAGGCAGGCTGAGGCTGAGGCTGAGGCAGGCTGAGGCTGAGGCAGGCTGAGGCTGAGGCCGAGGCTGAGGCTGACTGAGGCTGAGGCTGAAGCAGGCTGAGGCTGAGGCTGAGGCAGGCTGAGGCTGAGGCTGAGGCTGAGGCTGATGCTGAGGCAGGCTGAGGCTGAGGCTGAGGCTGATGCAGGCTGAGCTGAGGCAGGCTGAGGCTGAGGCCGAGGCTGAAGGCAGACTGAGGCTGAGGCTGAAGCAGGCTGAGGCTGAGGCTGAGGCAGGCTGAGGCTGAGGCTGAGGCAGGCTGATGCTGAGGCAGGCTGAGGCTGAGGCTGAGGCTGATGCAGGCTGAGGCTGAGGCAGGCTGAGGCTGAGGCCGAGGCTGAAGGCAGACTGAGGCTGAGGCTGAAGCAGGCTGAGGCTGAGGCTGAGGCAGGCTGAGGCTGAGGCTGAGGCAGGCTGATGCTGAGGCAGGCTGAGGCTGAGGCTGAGGCTGATGCAGGCTGAGGCTGAGGCAGGCTGAGGCTGAGGCCGAGGCTGACGGCAGACTGAGGCTGAGGCTGAAGCAGGCTGAGGCTGAGGCAGGCTGAGGCTGAGGCTGAGGCAGGCTGATGCTGAGGCAGGCTGAGGCTGAGGCTGAGGCTGATGCAGGGTGAGGCTGAGGCAGGCTGAGGCTGAGGCCGAGGCTGAAGGCAGACTGATGCTGAGGCTGAAGCAGGCTGAGGCTGAGGCTGAGAAAGGCTGGGGTTGAGGCAGGCTGAGGCTGAGACTGAAGCAGGCTGAGGCTGAGGCTGTGATTGCGACTGCCGTTGCCACTGCGACTGTCATCGCGAATGCGACTACGACTGCGAGAACAGCAGAACTCTACAACTGGATTCTCATCTGAATAGTAAGGGGAATGCTTCCAGGTATGCTCCTACATATCGTTGTTAGGTTGCGTTGCCGGGATAATTTTCAATGTGAAATAACAAAAAACGTGGCATTCTCAAATGTACATATAAGAATGTGTAAATGCATGTAGAAATGTATATGTAAATATGTATATGCATACGCACACATACCTATATATACATATATCTATATACATTCCTATTCGCACCGTGTCTCAAGCGGCCTTCAAGAAAGCGGCGGAGTGGCAAAGCCGACGCGCTATCTTGCTGACGAACTCTGCTTTCAGACAAGGTGAAGCGTAGTTCCAACCACAGCTGAATGTCAGAGAACTTCGAAGCGTTTCGCGTGCCACGGCACGCTGTTGATGAAACTTCCCTCTAGAAGGGACGACACCTCGACCCCAGACCGAGGGTGGCAGGCAGGGTGTGGGAGGTGAACGAAACAGGGGCAGCCGCGGACGCAACATGGAGAGGCGTCGCCCTGTCCGAAGGCCTCCAGATCTGCGGACAACGCGTGCAAACTCACATTCGCACAGTGTCTGAAGCGCCCTTCAAACAAGCGGCGGAGTGGCAAAGCCGACGCACCATCTTGCTGACGAACTCCGTTTTCAAACAAGGTGAAGCGCAGTTCCAACCACAGCTGAATGTCAGAGAACTTCGAAGCGCTTCGCGTGCCACGGCGCGCTCTTGATGAAACTTCCCATGCGCACAGAAATGTCCAGGGTGGTGGCGGGGTAGCTGGCTGGCGAATTCAAGGATACTGGCGAAAACATTCTTGAGCAGGTCCGGGAGCTGCCGACTGGCTGCGATCGCTTCGCAGGTCGCAGTTCAGGCCCACCCGGTCCTCGACGAAGCGCCAGCGCTCAAGGTGGGCAGCCGCCTCTCTGAGCTCTGCGTCGGAGGCGCCCGTCACCGCCAGGCAGTAGCCCAGGTCGGGCGAGTCCGAACAGTAGGCCGCGCGAAGCTGAGGCGCCCCGAGGTCACGCCGGCAGAGGAAAACGAGGCCAATAGTAACTTTGATCTCCTGGCGCACCGAGCCCCGCGCGCGACAGCGACGGTCCAGGGCACGCCGAATGAAGTGATAGACGGCCCACAGGCTAGACGGGGCAGGCCTGTCGAGCATGAAGACGCGCACCACGTGACCGATCCAAACTCGAAGCACCTCACCGCGGAGCCGTCGTCGACGAATTAACTCCTCACCGGCCAGATGCGCTCGCCAGACTCGACGGGGCTGATGATGGAGAAGGCGACGCCGACCATCGAATATAGCGCACAGGTGCCCCGGCGAAAAGGATTGCTCAACCACGTCGCGTGCGCGCGTGCCTCGGTCAGAGAACTGCTGTAGAACTCCATGTGCATCTGAAGCGTCGGCAGTGGCACTCAGCAAGGCCGCGATGTCTACGTGGGTCGATGTGGCGGGGCTCACGAACGAAGCCCGCGGCGCTCGGCGTTTCTCTCGAGCAGCTCGAGAGGCGCCAGGCGCCCCCTGGGGCCCCAGCGTCAACGATATGCTCTACAGCTGAATGACAAAGAAAGAGGGCCCAGGTAAAACCCATGCTAAGCGCTCTGAAGCACGGGCGCACAACGTCGGAGGGCCGCACTGGCACCATCTCCTCGAGATCGTCACCCCAGACCTCGGTGACTCACTAGACGCGGGCCTCGTCGGGATCGCCCATCCCGAACCAGCTGGCCACGCGCCAGTTGTCGAACTGCTAGAAGCCGCCCACCGCGCCCAGCGAGCTCCCCGAGAAGGGCAGTGAGAAGAGGCCCTCCTGCCCCTGGACGAGCTCCGCCTCCTCCTCCGCGCTCAGCTCGGCATCGGCGATCCCCGAGAGCTCCGCTGAGCTGAGGCCCACGTCCGCCAACAAGGCGATCGCACCCAGGTCAGTGCGAGGAGGAGTCTTGCAGCGGGCGCCCGCGATCAGATGAGTCGCCCCAGTCTTCTTCCAGGTGAAAAAGATTGACACCCTCGAGAAGATATGGCGCCTGAAGGCGATGAGCTGACGAGCATGCAACGCGGCGAACAAGTCGCGGCGAAGCTCCTTTGAGCGCCGCAGGTCCGGACACCAGCACGGGGTGACAGACGCGGACCCCCAGCACGCTGCCATTATTCAGGACGTGTTTTCTGAAATCCAAGTCCCAGGCCAGCCGCAGCGCGTCTGGGGGGGGCACGGACTCGAGGGGGAAAGGAACGGCGTGGCTCTTCGCCACCTTCAGCTCGTCAGGAAGGTAGGGCGCCATGCGCTGCGGCTCCTGCGCGCGCTGATCTTTCGCTTTACACACCTTGAGCGCGTCGAGCGAGGCCAGGTCCTTCGGCCGATCGCCTTAGAGAGAGATGCGCTCATCCAGAGGCTCAAGGATTTACGCGCGCGAAGAAGAGGCCCTGCCCGCACTGCCCTCGCAAAGACAGCCTGGATCTGAACGTGCCCAGGCGCGATACAGGGCATTGAGCGAGCGGACTGACTCCAAAAGACGCTTGTCTCGATGTCCAGCCTGCCTGCGCATTCCTCGCCACAGGCGCCCGGGGCCCCCGGGGGAGCCCTCCGCAGAATGGACCGGCAGAGGGAGTGGGTCACCACGCCGCCGCTGACCGCGATCGCCTCGACTACGGCGAACAAAACTCGGAGCCCGAAGCGCCAGACTGGACGCTCCTACCTGCGAGGATGACGGGACGGCGAGATCGACCAGGTACTCGATCCTGCCGAGGCCCCGAGGAGCTCTAGCCCCCCGAGCCTCTGCCGCCGTCGACGGCGTCAGCCTCGCCGCCCTTGGAGTTATCCCTGGAACCCTTGGGGCCGCGCCTCTTCTCGTCAGCCGCCCCCTCCTCGCGCAGCAAGCGCGACTGCTTGAGGGCGAAGGCCCGATGGTGCTGCTTCTCGGCGATCCACTTCGCGAACTTGGGCACGGCGACCCCCCCTTTGTCCTCGGTCGAGCCAGCCAACATGCACCCAGGCCCGCTGATGCCTGGATGTTTCGAGCCCTTCTCGACTGCGAGCTCGTGCTGGATGAGCCGCCTGACGAACTGCTCACCCATCGCCGAGTTTGCCAGGTTGCACTGATCGCACGTGAGACCGAGCCGCAGCGCCTCCAAGACAACGCGGCGGCCACGTGCGATCCCGCTGTTGGGCGACACCCCTGCCGCCACACGCCACTTCTGATAATAGGTATAGAACGAGCCGTCGGTACTCTTTGACAGCACGAGGGTCGGCAAAGGGAAAGTCATCGAACTTCGTCTCCTCGAGCCTGCCCACGGCCTCCTTGGCCGGCAGGAACCGCTTGCCACCCGTGGCCCGGCAAGTGCCGAGGAGCCGCAGATCTCCCCCGCCTCCGACTCGGCTTTTCCAGTCGGCCAGGTCGTGGAGATTGACCCTTTGAACGTGCACCTCCGAGGTCGAGTCGTTCACATCAAGCTGAACCACACCCTTGATCTCCCGGAACGGGGCTCGCCCAGCGTCGCCCAGGATGCCCAGCTCCGCCTGCTCACCACACCGAAGGTGCGACATGTCTGACATGACCCACACCTCGGCGTCGTCCACCTCGATATCCTCGCCAGCGATGTCCGCCAGCATCTTGGTTCGAGCGATGGCCTCAGTGAGCTCCCGCACCGGGAGCGGATCGAACAAGAAGCAATCGCTCCAGCACCGCACTGGCACAGGTCGTCCCCGAACGAGCGGCTCAAACCTGACCATCGCGGGGTCCAGGATCCGCATGTCCCCTGTCAGCGTGAGGACGACCCACCTACCCGAAGAGATGCGCACCAGCAGTACCCGATGATGCCGCGTGGAACTCTGATCATCATCGTATCGAACAAAAATCTGCATTTCTTTGATATCTAAGGCGCTCATATTCCCTCACAGAGACGGAGCGTCGACGGTGTCACTGGACCAGCCCCCACACGAGTGACGGGCAGTTGCTCGAGCACGGGAGCAGGTTGAACCACTGGCGTCGCACATCGATAACAAAACGTCCGACAAGCAATCCGACCAAGAAGCTGACCAAACTGACGCTGAACACCAGGCTGACGCAGAGTATACCGTCACCGACGAGCTGAACTGCAACTGTACCGACTCCAACTGACGCGTCAGGATCCGCTCGACGTGGTGACAGCATGTGTCCGAGCCAGTCTCGCACTGAGCGCCCTCAACATGACAATGGCAGACCGGCTCTGAGGCGGGCGTATGGAAGGCGACCACGTCTCGCAGCACGGAATACAAGAAATGTAGCTTGTCTTGTGGGATGTGCGTGGTGCCTGAGACGCCGGCCCAGCCGGGCCTTCTTAAACAAAACAGGGGCAGCTGCGGACGCAACATGCAAAGGCGTTGCCCTGTCCAAAGGCCTCCAGCTCTTCGGAAAACGCGTACAAACTCACATACGTATCCAAAACCAAACTCATATACTCATCCAAACACACATCTATGTGGACATACACATAAATGTGTGTTGGTGATGAGTGTACATGTGTCACTCGTCTGAGTATTAACGTGAGAGATACTTATTTTGCACATGGGGCCACGAAACATGTGAGGGGTGTGCCGAAATGGGCGCGGGGCAGCCATGCGAACCCTGCTGCTGGAGCCTTCGGTGGAGCTCCCATGGGGCCACGAGACGTGCGAGGGGTGTGCCGAAATGGGCGCGGGGCAGCCATGCGGACCCTGCCGCTGGGGCCTTCGGTGGAGCTTTCCTGTGGGGCCACGAAGCGTGTGATGGGTGTGCCGGAATGGGCGCGGGGCCGTCATGCGGACCCTGCCGCTGAGGCCCTCGGTGGAGCTTCCTATGACCTCACGAAACGTGTGATAGGTGCATCGAAATTAACACGGTGCCGCCATATGGACCCTGACGCTGGGGCCTTCGGTGGAGCTCCTTCTGGGGCCACGAACCGTGTGAGGGGTGCGCTGATATGTGTGTGGGGCCACCATGCCGGCGCTACCACTGGGGCCTTCGGTGGATCTCCCTAGGAGGCCACGAAACGTGTGAGGGATATACCGACATAGGTGCGGGACCGTCATGCGGAACCTGCCGCTGGAGCCTTCGGTGCAGCTCGCTATCGGGTCACGACGAGGCCGCCATGAAGACCCCGCCGCAGGGGCTCCCTGTGAGGCCACGAAACGCGTGAGGGGTGTGCCGACATGGGTGCGGGACTGCCATGCGGACCCTGCCGCTGGGGTGCTCTGGTGGAGCTCCCCATGGAGCCGCGAAGCGTGTGGGTTGTGTGCCGAAGTAAAGACATGCGGAGGCAGGGATGGGAGGAGGGGGGAAGAGGAGGAAGGAGGACGCGGGGCACTGTCTTTTCAGAACGAGAACCCAACACCACAGGATGGTTGGGAACTGCGAAGTATCGGGAGAGAGCGCTGGTACTGGTTTTGGGTGCTGTATCAGACATCAAAGGAAAGCGCCACTCGGAGCAAAAGAAGTAGAATATCGAGCGGGGGCGTTGCTGCTGCTGGAAGGGGGATTCTCGACGGCGAGACAAAAGCGTCTGTCCTGAGTGAGAATCGGCGAATCATAAAGCGGGACCTTTGCTGTTGATGACGGGCGGTTCCGGCGCACCCCCGAAACGCTCGAGCGTGAGACTCGCTTTCGAAGAAAATATTCCAGCACAGCTCGCCATGGAGATCCTGGGACAACGAGCCATGGGCTGCCCGGCCAGAGGGCGCAGGACCCAACAGGGCGGGCACCACCCGCGCATGGCCCTTGCTTGCCCGGAACGGCTCAGGGTCCCGCTTGCGACCAAGCATTCTTGCAAGAGTCTGCAGGGATTTCAACTTTGTGGGGTCAGAACGCCAGCCACACCCAGCGCCATGGGCGGTCCTGCCTGGGCAGCATCACCACAATGCAAAATGCACATGAGCAGCGCAACGCCCATGAGAACACTACGACCCTTGTAATCACTACAGATCCGCTATGCACCGCGCTGTCCCCGGCTGTAGGCACAACAACCCCTCCCTCCTCCCTCCTTCCCGTCTCTCTGGCCCAGCGCCTTCTTGCCCCTCCTCCTGCTGCTGCTCCTGCTCATCGTCCTCATCTTCATCCTCATCATCCGCAGCATCATCATCATCATCATCATCATCATCATCATCATCATCATCATCATCATCATCATCATCATCATCATCATCATCATCATCATCTGCAGCATCATTATTATCGCCATCATCATCGTCATCGTCATCGCCATCATCATCATCATCATCAGCATCGTCATCACAATCATCATCGCCATCCTCATCGCCATCCTCATCACCATCACCATCACCATCACCATAACCATCACCATCACCATCACCATCACCATCACAATCATTATCATCATCGACATCACCGTCACCATCAACAACACCAACATCATCATCATAATCATCAGCAACATCAGCATCATCATCAACATCAGCAGCATCATCCGCAGCAGCATCATCATGAACATCAGCATCATCAGCATCATCGTCAGCATCGCAAACATCAACACCATCACAAACAAAATCATCATCATCATCGTCGTCGACATCAGCATCAGCATCAGCATCAGCATCGTCATTAGCATCATCGTCATCATCAGCATTATCATTATATCGTCATCATCACCATCATCATCATCATCATCACCATCATCATCATCATCATCATATTCAGCATCATCGTCATCCTCATCATCGTCACCATCGCAGTCGTCATCCCCAACATCACCATCATCACCATCATCACCATCATCATCAGAATCAGTATCCTCATCATCTTCAACGCCATCCTCATCGCCAGCATCATCAGCATCGTCATTCCCTCCTCATCTTCATTGCCATCATAATCATCGTCCTCATCAGCAGCATCCTCATCATCATCATCAGCAGCATCAGCAGCAGCACCATCATCATCAGCAGCATCAGCATCAGCCTCAGCAGCATTACTACCAGCAGCATCAACATCAGAATCACCATCATCATCAGCATCAGCAGCATTATCACTAGCATGATCAGCATCATCATCAACATAATCAGCATCATTCGAATCATCGCCAGAATAATTATCAGAAGCATGAGAAGCAATCATAATCATTCATCGCCTTCACCACTACCATCACAATCAGCATCAACAGCATTATCATCCTCCATGTCATCATCCTCATCATGACCATCCGCATCGCCATCATCACCAGCATCATCATTGCCATCATTGTCATCCTCATCACCATAATCATACTCAGCAGCATCGTCATTGTCATCGTCATCATTCTCAACATCACCAGCATCATCATGATTATGTGCATCATCATCAGCAACATCACCGTCATCATCATCACCCGTGTCGTCATCCCCATGGTCATCATCACTGCCTCCCTCAACAGCATCATTACCACGATCACTACCATGATTAATATCATCCTCACCAGCATCATCAACATCATCATCACCATCCCAATCATCATTCTCATTACCAACCACATCTTCAACGACATTCTTATCGCCATCATCATCACCACCACCATCAGCATCGTCATCAGTATCAGCATGCTCGCCCTCCTTACCGCCAGCATCATCATCAAAATCGTCCCAACCCTCCTCATCCTCATCATAATTCAAATCCTCAGCATGCCCATCATCCTCATCATCCTCATCGCCATGCACATCGCCATCAGCATCAGCATCAGCATCATCATCTTCAGCATCAGCATCATCATCCCCCATTGTCATACACAGTATGCCCATTGTCAGCATCACCATCCCCATCAGCATCACCAGCATCATCATCAGCATCATCAGCATCATCATCAGCATCAGCATCATCGCCATCATCATCACCGCCAGGAACAACAGCAGCATCAGCATCATTGTCATCATCACCATCAGCATCATCATCACCAGCATCATCAGCAGCATCCTCATGATCATTGTCATCATCGCCATCCGCATCGCCATCCTCAGCCTCATCATCATCATCCTCAGAATCACAATCCTCATCCCCAGCATCATCACTATGAGCATCATCATCACAACCAGAATCCTCATCATCATTCCCCCCGTCATCATCATCATCGAACGTCTATCGTCGGCGTCGTCGTCACCCGTACCATTGACTCCATTATCATCGCAACCTGTCTGGCAACCAGCATCATCCTCATCCTAATCCTCCGCACCATCATCCCCATCGCCATCTTCGCCGCCATCATCCCCATCCTCATCATCATCATCAGCAGCAGCATCAGCATCGTCATCAGCATTGCCATCATCAGCATCATCAGCGTCGTCCTCATCATCATGAGCATCATCAGCAGCAACATGATCTTCCTCATCATCGTCCTTATCATCAACGCCATCCTCATCGCAATCATCACCAGCATCATCAGCATCCTCATCGTCATCTTCCCCACGATCATCACCATCATCGTCATCAGTATCATCAGCACCATCATCATCAGCAGCATCATCATCACTGGCATCAGCATCAGCATCATCATCATCATCATCACCGCCACCATCATACTCGCGCTGTCGTCGTCGTGATCATCATCATCATGATCATCATCAGCATCATCATCATCATCATCATCCTCATCATCATCATCATCATCATCATCATCATCATCATCATTACCACGATAATCATCATCACCACTACCACTATCATGAGCAGCAGCATCATCCTCATCAGCATTACCCTCATCATCATCAGCAGCAGCAGCAGCATCATCA